CCAGTCGCGCAACCACGTGGGAGAATCTCCCGGAAATCCATCGTGATCTTTTATGCACCCAGACAGGCAAAGATCATTGATCGCACACAACTCTGGCATCATCCAGGAAGGTCTTATATCAAATTATAATGAAAGTGCCACAATTGTTACGCTGTGCGTACGTTTCCTAATTTGTTTCAGATTCATCTTACGACGTTTAGTCCATTCCACATTTTATAACACACCGTTAAGTAATTTCTCAGACGAAAAAGTCTGAAAGGTGGAATTATATTTCTTCCGTCATATGAATTGACATGACGTTAATAATTTTAATAAATTGCAATGAAATTCTTAATAAATTCCTTCTCTTATAACTCGTTGGTCTGAAAATCGTAAAGAAAGAATGTTTGTGGCCGAAGGTCTTGAAACGTCGCTAACCCATAACATAATAGAGTGAATATCGTTGTAATAGATGACGATTTAATACGCGTACATTTAGGCAGTAACGTCGTCTCTTTTCGAGACTGACCGAAGACAAATGTGGATAGATCGTGTTCATAATTCATTCTACGCACTGAATTGAAGCAGCAAGAATCTCGAACAAATGATGGACGCAGACCGAATCAGTGTATACGTTCTTTACAGTTTTTACGGAAAAGTAAAAAATTACTTAAAGTGAACACTTCGCGTAAATGAAATGTCATGAAATGAAACGAAATGTGTTAATGCCACCATGAAAATGTCACACAGGGCAAGCTATGAATCATCAGTAGAGTAACAACACCAAAATATTTAGTGAGTTAGCCATATATTTTTAATTTTAGTTAATAAGAATTACGTAGATTTCGATGTTCAATCAATTTCAAAACGTTTTTGGGCCCTACAGTGAATTACACCAATGAAAGAAAGGATAAAGAAGGAATTATGTATTTTTAATTTTAGTTAATAAGAATTACGTAGATTTCGAGGTTCAATCAATTTCAAAACGTTTTTGGGCCCTACAGTGAATTACACCAATGAAAGAAAGGATAAAGAAGGAATTATGTATTTTTAATTTTAGTTAATAAGAATTACGTAGATTTCGAGGTTCAATCAATTTCAAAACGTTTTTGGGCCCTACAGTGAATTACACCAATGAAAGAAAGGATAAAGAAGGAAATATGGAAAAGGCGAGAAAAATATAGACACAGAAGAATCAAACGACGAAAAAAAGACTGAAATAAATAAAGGGGCCAAAGTATGGAAAAAAAAAACACAGAAAACAAGGAAGTAGCAATGTTCACGACACGACATATTGGACTTCACAGTGAATGTTTACAGCAACATTTGTCTCAGTAAATGATCAGAGACAGAATCAATCGAAACGTTTAGTGACACAAATGAACAACGAACCCACGTGGGCGGTTCACTGTTGACCTCATACACCACAGAGCAGAAAGCTTCGTGCACGGCCGCTCTTTGACCTTTGGCGTGTCTGCCGTTACATGTTTGAACGAACACGAACAACCACAGAATAAAACAAGATGCCAATCAGGGCTTGAACAGACTTTCGACCAGCATAAATTTCTTACACTCAGAATTTTAATGCGCCGATAAGGTTTGGGACTTGCATTCGGGTTTATGGCGTCGAAACACAGTTTACCGACTTTTATGGCTCAACAATTTTTTGACAATTAATATCGATTATAAAAGGACGTATCAGATTAACTACTTGGAGTAAGCTCCTTCTGAGAAATTGATAGTCACACAGTTGGTCAACAAATTCTCCGTATTTTATGGAGTCCGAAAGTTGATTATCGTGTTCACATAAACCTGGAATTGGACTGTTGAATCCAGTTTATAATTAAACTTGGCAAACATACTACGAGCTTGATGATTGTTTGTTCTTGAAAGAAAACATTACAAATCCTTAGCGTTATTAGTGCTTCAAAACCTAAAATGGTTATATAATAGACTAAGAACAAATATATTTGATATCGGTTATATAATGAAAACAATAATATAAATAAATTATGAGAAAAGTTAGAATGACCGGACATATTTGAATGAAATTAGTAGCACAATACTTGGAGCCATATCTTAAATTGTGTAAAAAAAATAGAACAGCTCAACAGATATACCAAGAAATATGGAGAATCTGTAATGTGGAAATAGCGAATTAAAAAATTTGTTTATTGTTATATATGGACAACAGGAAATATATGAGAAGATTTGGAGCAAGGAGTATTCGTTAATTTACACAAAGAGGACGATAAGAGTTACTGCGTATGTTACAGAAGAATATCACTATTGAATTCTACATATACAATTTATGTAATAATAAGGTAGTATTAAGTATAACCGAAACATGTCGTAAGAGACGTTCCAATTTGTAAATCGATCATTCGATGCGGAACGTGAAATGATATTTTAAATATTTTATATTTTATATATTTTATTATCTTATTAAAATTGTGATTTGACGGAAAATATTAAAATATTATGTAATAATATTAAAAGAAGAACTACAACGACAGAAAAATACAATTTAAGAGGAACAACGTCGATTCTAAAAGGGAGATCATACGTGGATTCGGTCGGTTCTTTACCATAAAACAAATAATAGACTAAATAAGAGAATATGATTTACAACTATTCATTTTAATATTAAATTATATAAAAAATGTACAGCAGAAGAAACCGGGTCAGACTATGCAATATTGTAATTAGATGTAATTTATTGTAAATTATTTGAATGATGTATATAAGTATCAAAGTGGAAAATAAGTTCGAATATGGAATGTATTTAGTAGTAACGTAAGGTCTGCGATGAGGATGTAGACTCTCCCCTTTTATTATTTGTTTTTGGATATAAATGTGGTATATGTAAGACAGGCAAATTAAAAAAACCCTCAAAAGGAATATTCATGAAAAGTAAAAAGTATGATGACTCAGTTTCATTCATCGGGTATTTGGGCAGAAAATGTCAAATTACAGACGAAGAGCCATGTCAATGGAGGAATGACCATGAGACGAGCTAAAATTAGAATAAATGGACACAACAAACAGCAGATCTACAAGTAATATAAATTAGTCTGCTGCTACATAATGACGTACAAATTGAACATGAATCAGTAAGAAACCATTACAAATATAATTGATTAAATTAAGTGATTAGTATATATTTTGTTACGTTGTAAGGCCAGACATTGTCTGACTCAACCATTACATAATGGTAATGAATGATGGATAGAATTTAAACACCCCACAAGAGTAGAAATTTAGGTTTTGCACGGCGGTGTGTCCGAAGATCGCTATCTTCTGGGTTATAGCGCAGTGTAGTCTGAATTTACCGACGTTTCAGAGGGCGATCACCCTCATTATGGAGGCAACAGGGACCTCTGAAACGTTGGAAAAGTTCTACCAGACTACATTGGCGCTACAACGCAGAAGACAAACATTCTCGGACCCTAGATGATGTTCTTTGGGTCAATATTACGAATAACGTTGAAGGAAAAGGTGAGCAGTGACCAAAAAAGGTTGAAGAAAATATTTAACAATGCCAAACGAAATATCTAGAATGAAAGTCACATGAACAGTTGCCGTGACACGAAGACTTTTAAGTGACGAGAAGACGTAACATCGCTCGATGAAAATAAACATGAAGGAAAGAACTCCTATGGCCTCGGAAGGGGATTTCCTACTCAGTTCTTATTATGGAAAAAAAAAAAAAAGTTATATACAGGAGGTTTAATATTTCAGAGATTTTTTTCCAAAGCTCACATTGCAGAGAAGTATACATTATTAATACGTGGTTAGTATAAATATAAAAGTGTATGATATATTGTGTTATGGGACAAATAAATTTCACATGATGAATATTGAATACATGCATGTATTCGTGTTAGACGATACATTAATTTTTATTGCAAGCAGGGATAGACGATCTTGTGATAATGGATTAACATTTCTGAACACCGACTCCGAATAAAGAATTACGTATGTTATAATTGCGTTTACTGTAATGAATATTCTTGGCACAATCATGACAGACAAAATTATTTTAATTTTGAGGTAGTAAACAAGACCTTAAACGGATTTTCCACTTCTGATTGAAAAAAAAAAAATCAAAATTATGTGTGACTCCTATGCGTAAAGCTGACTAATTCATCAGATTCTCATCGTCCGTACATTGCTAACTGATTGCAAATATGTGTAGACCTTGACAAATATTAGTCCCGTTTCCTGAACGTTAAAACTTCTCTTGGGGTGTGACTCCCTGGTACACGCTGCCGCCGAGCCGAGAAGTGTTCGTGAAATTCTCTGAAGCCGCAAGACAATGAACTTCACCACAAAAATTGACTTTGTACAATCGTGAGCGTGTTTAAAATATTTGTAGCTTAAATGCGTCATGTTTGTGTTGAAATCGAATATATATTTATTATCTCAGTCTATACACAAACGTATTTAAAATGTTGTTAAAATTTATATATATTTATATATTTTAACAACAACATTTTAAATACGTTTGTGTATAGACTGAGATAATAAATATATATTCGATTTCAACACAA